GCCCGATCCATTCGCTCGCCTCTTACGACCAGCATCGGTTACTGGGGACCTATTCTAACCTGGAATCCACGTGGGATCTGCTCTGCGTACGATTTCTACATACGTGGAGAGTGTAGGGTCATTTCTACAGAAACCATACTGTTCTTTGTTCCCAACTGTGAATGTAATGTCTCCACACGTGTTGCCACAGGTATTGTTCACACACGTTACCAGTATTCAGAGATCTGTCTTAACCTCAGCTCGAACCCATACAAGTGATATTGATGCCAACTCCAATCAACCACCTTCTCAGGCGGACGGGCACAGAAAGTTGCACAGCTTATCCAACAAATGGCATTTCTTGGTCAAGTCCAATGTTCTTTGAGAATTTCACCGGTACTGCATAGCATTTAAATGGTTTGACAGATCAATCTTGGGATGGGACATTGAGCCAAATAGGTCCCACTTAGTTAATGTAAATTATATATACTCACATGAGGGATTGAATTGTACCGGGGTCATAAATGTCATATTAAATATATAATATGGTACCGCACCATGCTATATGGATTGTATAGCCTATATTTTAGCAATACAATGTATATAATAACAGATGTCACTATTTAAGGTCAGAAATATAGTAGTGTATCACTATTCTCTTTGGGGATTCGGTGCCAGAAGAAGCCTCATTTCCTCATGCTAGGCGTGTATAAAGATCCTACTGTTAATGGGGATCCGGTGTTCAGGCGTATAATCCGTCTAATTGCCTGTCATTGTATAGACCTTGATAGCATGTTTGTTTGTTTGTTTGTTTGTTTGTAGGTTAACGCCGCACTCAGCAATACTCCAGCCATATGACGGCGGTCTGTAAGTAATCGAGTCTGGACCAGACAATCAAGTGATTGACAACATGAGCATCGATCCATGCAATTGGGACCGATGACATGCAACAACCAAGTCAGCGAGCCTGACCACCCGATCCCGTTAGTCGCCTCTTACGACAAATATATAGTCGCCTTTTACAGCAAGCATGGGTTGCTGAAGACCTATTCTACCCCGGATCTTCACGGACCCCTTAATAATACGGATCCTGTTTTTATAAATCACTGCATGGTCTCCACTCGATTAAAGAATATATTTTCATGCAGCCATCGTGGTATATGTTGGATATTGCTGGCTGTACTGCATAAAACCGCATTCACTCACCACTCGCTGTGAGTCAGATTATCACAGAGCATAGGCGGACGGCGGATCCTCTGTGTGTGTGTGTGTGTGTGTGTGTGTGTGTGTGTGTGTTTTGTGTGTGTGTGGGGGGGGGGGGGGGGGGGGGGTGGTGGAGGAGGAGGATTTTGATATTTGGGACCCCTCCCTTTTGAAAATGCTGGGTCCGCCCTTGCAGACCATATGAGTGGGTGAGTACACTGGCCTGATTGAAACTTGCTACAGCCACCTGGCCCGAGTCTCCCTGTCTCCCTTTATGTTTACACCTCGGACTGATCTGAAGGGTCAGATATGAACCTGATTTACCTCTTCGATATTGCTACTCAAGGGCCATACTGTGACACAAATCGCCATATTAACATAGGACTACTGTTACACGTACACATGATTGCCTAGGCTTTCTACGAATAAAGAAAAGTGGGTCCAAATTCAAATTTTGCAAATGACAATATTTTCAGTGTAACTCATAAACATAATTTTAACGTGCAATATGAACTCTCTGGGGTTGTTTTATATACAAAGCTATGAAATTAAGAGAAAATATTTTGGGGTTTGAATATGTGTGTAATATATGTACAACACTTTGCATATGAACCAGAGGCCTTAGTTACAATAAAATGTCTTCTTCTCGCAGCACGCGCACTTTGGTTAAACAACATGTCGCTAAAATTTCCACTTAAATTGCATGGCTGCCATATTGCCAAGATAACGTTGCATTTTTTCCGCACCACTCACCCTTTTAATCGGGATCCGCTTATATGATTGTGTATACCTGTCTGATATATAGGTATGTTTGTGTGGAGTCCACGGTGCAGCTGATGACATGCGCACCTCAGTTATACAATCCGCGGTTGCAAAACTATCTACAGGGTCAAGGTCGTTTTACCTCAGTCGCGTGATGTCTCAAGATTAGATCGACAGACAGTCTCACCTCATGTTTACTTACTCCTTTTTTAATGTGAGTTATGAAAGACGAAAAGTATATACAAAACGTGCTTAGAAAAACAATCTAATACATAAAATACAGAATAAATTGACATAAAATACTGAATAAACAAGAAAATATTAACTCTGATATACAATGGAACAAAGATTATCTAGTTCTGGTGGTAGCAATACGCTGTTATTCTAATTAAACATCGAGAGACACAAAACGCTTCATACTACACACAAGCATCACGCTTTTCGATCCTTGACTGGGCACCAAACAACCATGGAGCCTCCGTGTATTGTATTTTATGTTCAAGTCGACAAACGTCTATAAATAAATAAATATTATTATACTTTTATAGCGACGTTTCGGTGTAGATCCTAATAACGTCAAGCAAGACTGGTCGACGTTTTTCATCCGTCAACTTCTAATAAATGACTATCAACCGATTCATGTTTCATGTTATTGTAAACTTTTTGATCATTTACTGGAATTCCTGGCTCTAGCCAACTGACAAAACCGCCTGCACTGGTTACGTTACATGGTGTAATAATTAATAATTAATCATAATTATAATAGGCTATTTATATTTCGCATATTTCCACACCACTCGGGGGCATGCTCAAAGCGCTATTTTTACTCTTGTCACTGGATCAATGTGCACTCAAGAATCATTCTCAGCTCCCTGGGGAGTATGCTGAGAAGCGCTAGAAGGTTAACAACCACATTGCCTCCTCAACCTACCGGGTACCCATTCACTGCTGGGTGAACAGAGGCACATTTTGAACATTTGAGTCACTTGCCTAAGAAGACGTCACATATGTTACATGTGCCAAGTTTCTGAAACGCGGTCACCCATCCAAGAACCCTCCGCGTCCAACGATGCTTAACTTCACCTAATTTGTGACCTGTGCGCTGTGCACAGGACCACATGTTGTGATATACTACTCCACTTTTGAAAGGGAAATGATTCTCATAATATGTCAAGAGTATATCTAAATAGAACGACACGCCCGATTATCCCTATAAAAGGCTGAGGAGTGTATTAATCACCGTCTAGTCTAATGACGACACGCTTGTATGTATTTCTGTCAACCGTTTACATAATAGAAACCTATACAGCGATCACCCGAGCTACACGACTCCTTAATAATGTCACACACAGTGCTTTATTGCTGAAAATACTTTTATAATGTTACCGAATTCCTGGCACTATCAACCCGACAAAACCCTGTGTATTGGTTACATTACTGTGTGTAGTTAGAGTGAGTGAGTGAGTATGGTTTTACGCCGCTTTTAGCAATATTCCAGCAATATCACGGCGGGGGACACCAGAAATGGGCTTCACACATTGTACCCATGTCGGGAATCGAACCCGGGTCTTCGGCGTGACGAGCGACCGCTTTAACCACTAGGCTACCCGACCGCCCCGTGTGTAGTTAGAGAATACATGCATGTCTTACGTCATGTCGTGATATTAATCAGTGTTGACTCTATTGTGGACACCCATGAATGTATGTCTGGCTGCTGCACATATAGAAATCTACAGGAGTGTCAGATCCACACAACCTCTTGATAATGTCCGTGTTCACACAAACCAAGCAAGTAATATGTTTGGGCAAACAAGGACTTCAATTTTCGTCCTTGTCAAATAAAATGCAAATTAATTTGTATATCATTTCAGTTTTTGTTTGTGTTTAAGTACCTTTGTGATATGAAACGTAAAAGCTTGAATTGTACGTGGTGGTATTTCGATGATATAATAGCACAATATCATCTGTCAAAACCGGATCTTGCCTCATGCGCATTTCTTCGTGAACCGGAGAAAATTCTGCTGTTCTTCCATTCCCCACTCGAATAACATCCTGAATCTTAGATTTAGTTTGGAATATATATATATTACAACCAAATAAAGTCTATAACACTAAATCTCTACATGCACGTTCTCATACCAGCAGACCGCCTCCGTGGTCTAGTGGTAGAGCGTCCGCCCGGAGAGCGGAAGGTCCTGGGTTCGATGCCCGGCCGCGTCATACCAAAAGACGTTAAAAGATGGTACTTGTTGCTACCCTGTCTGGCGCTCGGCATTAAGGGGCGAAAACAAGGACTGGTCGGCTCAGAGTCAGTATAGTGTGTCTGAGTGGGGTATTCATGTTAAACTGTGGCATGGTCTCTCAGTGAGGTAGCACTATAAATCGGCATCAGTCCGGACTAGTACAAGCAGTCACACAAACACAATCACGTACATGCCTGTCGCTATATAAGTGTAATAATCTTGGACGCGACGTTAAACCCTATTTCACCTCACCTCACAATCTCATACCAGCAAGGGAGTGGGCCACGGGTGGCCTTGTCGCCTTAGGGACCGCAATTCGCTGTGCAGAGTTGTGTCCCTTGAGGACAAAAGATACTATGATCGTGGGTTAGAACTCCAAACATGTTTTTAGATGTGTCAGCATCATAACCGTGCTCGTAGGCTTCATCACAGGAAAACGTCTGAGACCTGCATCACTTCGGGCTTTTCTCCTACATTACGCTGGCACGCCGTGATTTTAACTGGAATATTGTTCAAAGCGTGTCTCTCTCTCTCGTCACCCATTTCACCTCACCCAAGAATGTTACTGATGCCATAACATTGCACATGCTCGGAATCGCTAAGACTATATAATAGATGGAATCCAATGTTATATTGAAGATAATCAAACAAATTTATTTTTTACCAGTTTTATGCAACATGCAATATTATCCATAAGGATAAAATGATGCACGTGTACATTTAGTGATGCTCAACGCTGGTTGGTCAATTTAAGCCATATGACGTCACAGTGCGTAATTGTTGAGAATGATACGACATGATGTCATTGAATCGGGAAGTTGTACCTTTCTCCGTCCGTAGGAATTCGCAATGTAAATTATTTGGGTTCATTCCACATGCGCATAGGACGTTATACATGTATTTCAAAAACACAATGCCCGTGTACTGTGTACTAACGACAGTCAAACTACAACTAAGTCTACTGGTCAGCGGTCACACCTGTGTACAGGTGAGTACTTATCTCTGTTACGCAAAACACTATCAGAGTTCACCGCGTCAACATCCACACACCAAGGCATGTGTACCGACAGCTGTCTCAAGGAGAGTCACCAGGTCTGCGCTATGCTACATACGCTGGCATACCTCAACTGTGTCGTATTATTTATGGTAACAATTCATCGAAAGGTTGACCGGGTGTTATGTTTGCTTTCTAGGCCACTTTCTATTTATCATACATCGTCAACAACACCACTTGCAGATCGCATATACGTCAGCGAACACTCTACATATCAATAAGACTCAACGAACGAGTACATAATCTGTCACGCGCCTGTGGGTCTGTTATATTGTTAGGCGTGGTGTATACATTTTCCTGAGGATTAAAGATTTTATTGGACCGTGTCGAAAAATATTCAGGGATTTTACTTTCGCTTTGTCCAGATAAAAGTTAGAGTTGTGCCCCTTTGCACAAAACATTACATCAACCGAGAGTGTCGTTAACTTTGTCATGGTTATCCGGGTATCCGCACCTTGTTGATGCTATTGCAACAATATTATTTTAATTCTGGTTTCTGGTTTCGACACATAAGGAATGCATATTTATTTGCATGTCATTTTTAGTTTTTGTTTGCATAACGGTTCTTTAATTCCCCATTCGATTAAAATAACACTTTATGTCCCAGCTTAGACTAACATCTAGTCTCTGAAATGAACATATCATCCAGAAAAAAACAGTTGTTCAGTTATCTTAATAAAAATGTAATAAAAGGGAGCCCAGTGACTCTTTTCATTTTCAGGCTGATACTGCAGTTATCTAGACTTGCCAAACATTATATAGACTTGCATGGGCTGTATTTGATATATATTTGTATCAGGATCTGTAAGACAGACTAGTCCCGGCTAGTCTCTCTCACAGAAACAGACCCGTGAAGATCCGGGGTAGAATAGGTCTTCAGCAACCCATGCTTGCCGTAAAAGGCGACTAGGCTTGTCGTAAGAGGCGACAAACGGGATCGGGTGGTCAGGCTCGCTGACTTGGTTGATGCATGTCATCGATCTCAATTGCGTGGATCGATGCTTACGATGCCAATCACTGGATTGTCTGGTCCAGACTGGATTATTTACAGACCGCCGTCATATAGCTGGAATATTGCTGAGTGCGGCGTTAAACAACAAACAAACAAACACAGACACTTCGCATTTCGGGCAAAGTTTATTCAGAAAGCACATGTACATTCTATAGACAAAGTTGGCTCTCCATGGAAACTGGTTTGTTTATCTGGTGATCTGAAAACATTGTGTCACTCCTGAAAACATTGTGTCACTCGTGAAATTTTGTACATTGTGTCACTCGTGAAAATATCAAAGGTGTCATGTCCCCAACATCATGAACAATGAGAGACATCAAGATTATTGTCTTGTTCTCAACATTATATAGCAATGTACATATTTCTTCACTTGACCAATCATCTATTCGAATTATTAGTATGTTAATAACATGGGTATAATGTTTACATAAAGTAAAAAAACCACGAGTGTGGCAACAGTCATAGAGCTATGGTTGCAATGTACATGTTCCGATTTTTACGAATTTGTAATCCAAATGACAAATTAAAGGTTTTATATATTCTACGTATAGACTCATATACACGGGATCACTGCATGTTGCTCATCACCTGCATAACATTTGGTAATCATGTACATACTACTGTTCTTATTAAAAGCTTATTTGTAATGAAATTTTGCTATTGTATACAATTTGTGTTTGTTATCCTGCGAAAAATACACCCAATATAAATAAATAAATAAATAAATAAATAAATAAATAAATAAATAAATAAATAAATAATGATGTTGTGAAAGGGCTTACAGATGACTGTGAATGGACATTCCTCAATGATATCAAGATAAATACCGTGACAGGTTTTGTTTTTCAGTCTTTTTTTTCTCCACAATATATAAAGTGCTTCAAGGGGGAACAATGTTTGGCCGCTTGGCATCCCAAGGATGTTTGCTTCACGTTATTCAAAACCTATGTTTTTGTGTCCTCTTGAGCGCACACGAAGAATCAGGGAATACACAGATTACGACTGGGCTACAGAGAACTACTGACGTGTGTTAAAAAATAAATACATATTCTTTTTTTTAAATTTAATTTCAAATTTGGACAAATATTTTCGTCACCATCATATTCCTAAAGTCAAGAACTTAAAAAGTGAAGGCTGATAATGTAAACCACTTTCACGGAGCGGGGGTGGCGGGGGTGGCGCTTAGTTGTAGCCTAGACCAGAAAAATGTCCTTTCAATATACTGTCACTGGAGCATAAACTATAGTCATGGATCTGCTCTGTGTGTGTGTGTCTTGATAAGCAATCCTTTCTTATGAAATCAATTTGTGTATGTTTCTTAACAGCTGCTATTTGTAATGTAATGTATAGTAATCAATACCTAGTTACCATCTGTTCGTTTTACATTTGTTCAATCTTTTGTAACATTTGTTTGAAGTCACATGACGTCAAAAATGGCGGCGTCCAAGTCGGATGTAGTTGTTGGTGTTGAACGAAATTCTGAAGAGACGTTTTTATTTACTTCAGAATCAGTTGGAGAGGGGCATCCAGGTAACATAACCTTTGCATTTAATATCGCTTTCTGTAGACCGCGAATCCAATAATCCATAGAAACAGACCGTTATAGAATAGACGTATTCAAGTTTTTGTCTACGCATGAACAATGCCATCAAGGTCCTCGGTTTCTGTGCATAGATCTACGCATAACATTTTCACGTTTTCAAAAGGTTTCATTATAGTTTTTCAAAATTATTTTCGTCAAAACATTTTATTAACGTTTTGGAAATGTTTTACAACTTCAAAATGTTATTGAAATGTTTTCAAAATGTTATTCAAGAACATCATGCTGTAACATATGCGAAATTTTTTCATAACATGTTATTACAATGTTTTCAACACGTTGCAGAAATGTGTTGCCAGAAGATATTTAATGAAATGTTATCATCGGGTTTCAAATACATTGTGTACCCATATTAAAGGGGCACTGATCTAACGCAATTCCCCGGGACTGGTTGTTGCCTTTGGTATTGTTTTTTCCCAGTGAATACCCGGATGTATAGCAGAAATCTAGACTAGTTCGCGACCTCTGCTGCGCCATTCGTAAGCGCATTAGTCACTTTTATGGGTAGTAATAAGGGCGTATGGTCACATTGATCAACAAAATGAAATACAGTTTTCGAGATAATAAGGAAATGTAGGTATCTTTGTGAGTAGCATCGGTAATGGGGACGGAGTTTTGATAAGTCACTTGCTTGGTAATTTTGCAATTTTCGTTTACACTATTTTGACTTGCAACACAAAGTATATATTTCACCTGAGCATATGCTTTTTTTATAGTGTGTATATTTTTTTACTGTCAAATGTGTAACAAATTTATTAAACGTCTAAATATTCAGTTATTTTACAAAGTGACTGAAAAACATTTCCATCTGTATTATTATGACAACGAATTCCAAACATTTTGATGTTTAATGTCATCACGAAGAGACTGAAAATGTAACGTTGAAAAGTACATTTCTAAGTTGTTTGGCTTTTAATCCTACATAATAATCTGTTGTGATGTTTGTAGGCCCTTTTGATCGTCTTGATCAATCTGGACAGATTTTTTAGTCAAAATGACTTAAATATTTACACATTTTATAAATTGCCTGAGAGAATCACATTTTACAAATTGACGGTAATATATACACGCTTACAAAGGAAAAGACCTGTGACAACGTCTATCGCGCATTGAAGAATTTCCCAACCAAGACGTAGAGAAACAAGAACGAATCGGTTCAAATGAAGGAAAACAAAATGCAGATATCATAATTACAACCTACCAAATTTATGTGTATAAGTTTTAGGCAGCTTCCTTGTTCGAGGAATGTATCCGTGAATATCCACACAAAGGAACAATATCCCACTCGTCTGCAGCTGTACAAAGAAACTTATTCGATGTCATGTGTCTTAGTAACAATCAAATATCTTAAAAGATATATATCGTTTCGGGATATTATAACCCGTGTTCGTTTCTCAACTGATCGCTTGAATTGTTTCAGGTGTTTTACATAGGTGTCAAGTCTCAATGGTCGGCTGAGAAAGCCCACGTGACAGCTATTTTCATAGCGTCCACGGTTCCTAAAAATTCCATTGAGTGATAGATAACAATGATCAATCAATCAACGTATTATCAGTTAACCCTTTGAACAAAGTATGTTGTTTTTACATCGGCACTTCGCGCCATGATATGCGTGTATTCCCTTTGTTTTAGTAAACCTAGACATGTAAACACTCACTCTTGACATATCCACTGTGCAAGATAACAGTGATTAATCAATCAACGTATTTTCTGTTAATCCTTTGATGACTAGGAACGATCCGTTGATTAACAAAAAAAGTAAATCAACTGATCATTCATCTCTTGCTGGGCTGCCACGTGCATATTACATAACACACATTTCACCTCACTTCAAACCTGGATTTAGATTGAATAATTACCCCAGACACAATAAATGCCAAATGGGAATCTTTGTCAGGTAATATAAGTGGTGCTACCACTAATTGTACCTGTAATAAATTCATTAACTGAGCATCAAGTGAATGACGACAAATACACAAGTGTAGGGTTATACGAGAAAACGTGGATGACAACAAGGGAGTAGTAATCGTATTATCGACGCAAGCCGAAATCCGAAAATGCTTTCACTGCATGGATACTTTTTTTAGTAGTAAACTATAACCATCTGGGGTATTTCCAAATGACGACATCCGATGAGCTCCGCTGTTCTTTTTGTCTTTTTGTTTAGGCTGAAGAAATGAATTAACATGCGCCCTTTGTCGAAATCTTTATAGATCATAGTTAACCAATCAGTGTTCAAAAATGCGTAAAACAAATATTGCCTCCAGCCTCCAAGTTTATTTAGCTGTCCTTGCAGACGGTACCCCAGTCTCTGGTCATGCTCAGTTGCGTTGCGTATCATCCGGGTACTCACGGGGGGAAAACAATAACAAAGGCAACAACCAGTCCGTTAGATCAGTGCCCCTTTAAAATAATCCGAATAAGGTGTAAATGTTTTATAATTTTTCAAAAAGTAATTTAAATGTTTATGAGATGTTTTTCAAGAGCATCATGCCATAGCATAGGCGAAACTATTTCATAACATGTTATTACAATGTTTTCAACACATTGCTAAAATGTCATGCCAGAAACTATTTCATGTTTAAATTTGTTTGTTGCTGATCACAGACAGTGTCACAGGCAATTACATTTAGTCACGCATATTTTGCGGGGGCGTGAGAGAGACTGCTGAGAAGTGAATAAATATAGATCTATGGTAAAAGACGCATTCTCTCACATTTAATTATTTTTCATGACTAGTTATTAAAATGTCAAAAAAACGTTTTTGAAAATTACCAGAAAAATATGTTTTGGACAAGTTCTTAAAACATTTTCACTACTAAATTTTACTACTATTTATTGTTTGGTGTAACAGTTATCAAAGCAAACGTTTAATGTTAGTCGTACTTAGTGTGCGACTGTGATCGATACTTGTACCGAGAAGTGAAAATAACGTGATCTACTGATGCATTGGTGTATCATCCCACTACTGATGTCTAGTTGTGAATGATTATCTTCTGATGATGCTGAGTGAGTGCGTATGGTTTTACGCCGCTTTTAGCAATATTCCAGCAATATCATGGTGGGGGACACCAGAAATGGGCTTCACACATTGTACCCATGTCGGGAATCGAACCCTGGTTTTCGGCGTGACGAGCAAACGCTTTAACTACTAGGCTACCCGACCGCCCCTGATGATGCTGAGAAAGTTGGCAGTTGGTCAAAGCCTAGTCCCCTTTACATCAGTCCCAACTTAACAACTGTGACATTTCAGACAAGATCTGTGACCTGATCAGTGATGCTGTCCTGGATGCTCATCTGGCCGAGGACCCATTCTCCCGGGTGTCCTGTCAAACTGCCGCCAAGACGGGCATGGTGTTTGTGTGTGGAGACATTGTGTCCAAGGCAGAAACTAACTACCAGCAAGTCATCAGGGATACTGTCCAACACATAGGCTACGACACTTCAACTAAGGGTAGGTACACGCAACAATTATAGTGCATCATTTTTCTCCTTTTCTTGCTATGAATGTTTAATTATGATGCAATAATAGTTTTATGTCTTTGGAGCTGTATACATGGTATAGGACAGTTAGATTTACATACCGTATTCGACGTAATAAGCGCCTAGGGCGCTCTCAAAATTAGAAATAGGGGGCTCTTATTAGAATATAATTTTGGTTGAATTTCATGGTTTATGCTGACAGCCTGAAATGACACAAAAGAAAAGTCTGTGCGTATTATACACATCAGAATATAATTGCACGTAATTAAGGGTGCATTTAACACCCGAGTGCATATTATACATGAGTAAATAAGGCTTGTGTACATTGATCAATCGGAAGGGGTGCTAATTGGGATTGTTCACTAGCCAATATGTTATCAAATATCGCAGTAGGCGCTTATTAGAGCAGGGCGCTTATTACGAATATGGTAATTGTTATTGGTTATAGGTTAAATGCAAACATATAGATTAGAGTCACTGTTTCATATTGGTGTCACCTAAACATGACCAAGTACCATAATGAACATGCTTGGGTAGGCAAGGCATTTTTTATTTCTTGGTTAAAAGTTTTTTTTGTGAAAAATCCTTGTCAAAGGGCATGGTAGATGGGAAAGATAAAAAAGGCAAATTATGTTCTTGAATTATTAACATGACAAAGATATCTGAATTTGTTGCCATTGACACCATTGATATAGTTGGATATTTGCAGTGGTCAAGATCGTACTATGCTTTTGATCAGATAACAGTTTGATGTGTTTACTTTCTCTGTGATTATATGTTTTGTTGTGAAGTAGCTGTTTAGTTTAATGAAAATGACAATGTCAGATATGAATATACAAGGCACTGATCATGTGGATGCCATTGTATTATGACAAGGACCTTTTAGATGGTCAGTAGATTTAGGCTGCTGTCACTCAACATGCTCAATCAGCAAAGCACAAACTTGTACTGCGCTTTGTTGCAGGGTTTGACTACAGCACATGCAATGTCCTGCTAGCTGTAGAGGATCATGTACCATCAACAGATGTACAAAATGGGATGTACAATTCCATGGATATCAATGCCCCATCAACTGATACTGTAAGTTCAAGACTTGTCACATCTTTGTATTAGCTTAGGACAATCGTCTCCTCTCCTCTTCTCCCCAATGGAAGGAAGTCCATTTTCTGGTGTCCCCCACCGTGATATTGCTGGAATATTGCTTAAGATTCTAAGATTTGATTCTAACCCTATCTTCGCAGGTTGGTTTGTCTGGTCCAGAGAAATGTTCTACATGTCTTTGAGAAGGTTGTTGACTGTATGAAACTGTTGGATGATCCTATTTCCAGGCACTGATGTTCGGCTACGCCACAAATGAAACTGATGAGTGCATGCCACTTACAGTGATACTGTCACATCAACTAAATTCCAAAATGGCTGAACTCCGCAGAAATGGTCAGCTTTCATGGGCAAGACCTGATTCCAAAACACAGGTATACTTGACATTTTATAGCTAGATTGGAAACGCTATGTTGATCATGTTTTGTTGGGCAAGATTTGAATTAAAAAACACAAAGAAGTTTATAAAAACCAAAACAGGTGTTTCCTTGGACTAAGCCCCATTGTGTTGGCAAGCACTTGTCTTGCTACCTGCATGTCTTGTCATGTGACAAGCCTTCACCCTCCCCAGCTCAGCCAAAGGCTTCACAGCTGTGTACAGGGATATAGTGAAGGTTCCAGCACTACCCTGGGACAATCTCTGCCCTGGGTCTGGGGACTTTCCCACAGGCTGTGGGAGGCACTGGGCCTCTGTGTGTAGCCTTTACTGCAGGTATCTAGGAAACACCTGTTAGAGTTGGGTGATGACTTGTTTTTATAAGCCTTTGTCCAGCGCAGAATTTCAAATCGGTGTGAAGTTCACTTATGAAAAATTAAATTTTCATTCAGCATATATTCCATGACAAATGACAGTTTTAATATAAACTAATTGATATTTTATTTGTGGTTTATTTGATTGCAACATTACAATCTGATTTTGCCTTTTATGGAGTATAATACATGTTAAGTGACCAAATGTGCAGATGATCAACCATGATGACACACCAACCGTGTTCTTATGGTAAAGAATTATTGAATGAAATTTTGAATAAAATTAATGAAATATATTGCAAACATTAGTCCAGATAAACAATGAACACCTTTTTATAACCAGTTAGTATAATAATGGGATTAACTGCTTACTTCATTTCGGATTTGTTAACTGGTATTTCCGGTGTTACGGGATCGCAGTGATCAGCTGATAGGTCTTTTGAGATGGGGAAAACATTGTGACATTGGCATGACTGGAAAACTTGAGTTTATCAAAAATGTAAGTAACTTTTTGGAGCAATGCTTTGCCTTGCGCTATAAGCGAGTTAGTGCTATGTTGAAGAGTGCAATAGCGAGGGAACACTGTATCATATGGTCTCTTTCTTCACAGATTTTATTACGGATACTTGTATAATAGACATTAATGAAACACATTTTTGGTTCCAAGTCAATTCCAAACATGACCACAGGTATTTCCCAAGTACAGTACTTTGCCCCTGTGTACAGGTAACTGTGGAGTACAGAGTGGAAGGTGGCGCCACCATCCCCATCCGCGTCCACACAGTGGTCATCTCTATCCAGCATGATGATCACGTCACCATGGAGAAGCTTCGTGATGACCTCATGAGCAAGGTCATCCGATCGGTCATTCCTGAGGAGTATCTGGACGACAGGACCATCTTTCACCTCCAGCCGTCTGGGAGGTTCATCATTGGGGGGCCTCAGGTACGTCAAGATTCCTTGTACTGATCGGATAGGTTCCGTGGACTCCATGCAGTTGGTCCAGCCAGTTCAAGATCTCAAGCTCAGAGCACCACATAAACTGAGTATTTTCGTAAAATACACAAAATAAGTCATTAATCCAGTTAATTTTGAGTTGTTCGGTCCAATGTGCATAAAAAATTCCAAAAACCCAATATTGGAACTAAACTGTACAAAACCTAATGTAGCTTGTGTACCTGTGTTTCTGTATCAGTCTTTGTTTAAGAAACAAATGATGCGTTGGAGTGGTTTATCGTATGTTAAAACACTGCAGGGAGAATAAACCATCCAAGTGATCTTTCGGCCATTGTGTTTATCTATGTTGCCCAGCTACATCTATGGGGAACAACTCAAAAGACACTTCCCTCTCAAAAATAACGTCTTCCAAATTAAGATGTCATCAAGTTGCGAGCACATGTTCGAATCCCCAGAAATGATGTCATGATAGAACAATGTTTTTTCATGAAATAAACCACGCTTCATTCTACATTTTTCTTTGCGATTTATCGCGTAGCTATCTTATATTTACTGGTCTAATGCTGACAACATGAATACATGACCTCCACTCCAATGAACGATGCACAAAGCTGCTTACAGTTACTGAGACTCTTATCAGTCAGGGCTCCAGATAAGCTTTTGGTGTTGTGGGTATTTTACTCATGCATTTTACAATCATTGGGTATCAGTAAGTCTATCTGGGTATTCAAATTTCTGTTACCCACTAGTTTTTACACATGTAGGTATTTAAGTTAAATATTTAAAAACACTATTCATCTAGTTCGAGAGCTTTATAGGACTCAAAAATACCATGATACTTCCACAAGAAAGTGTGATGGCAAATGATCATGATGTAACTGTCATTGTGGAGTTCGGCAAGGTTGACGGAATGCCCGTTTATAATTTCAAAATAAGTTGCTGATTTGCTAATCGTATACGCAGGGTTACTTCACAAAATATTTTGATGATACGCACAAGTTTTATTTTTGTAGCGTATCTGTAATGTTTTTGTTGTATTTGATACGCTTGGATTTTATTTTACTGCATATTTCTGCATCTCTGATGCGTATTTTACGCAGATACGCGGCTTACCTGGAGCTCTTTCAGTGTTATGTGTTTATGTGGCATGGGACACACTGAGGTATTACCTGAACAGATTACAAATGATCTGAAACAGTATTTTTAACGGAATTATAAACTTGAATAATAAACTTTATCCAAGGGAGTAAAAGAATATTGAATACCCAAAGAAAACTATGACATAACCAATGTGAATGATAACATGTGAATAATTACTCAACATGCTGAATGGCTTAAAACATTATCTGGATCCCTGCAACTGGTTACAGACCTGTTGAGCTTATACAATGGTGCAGCCTCTGTCAACAGTCACACCAGTTTGGCCTCCTATAAAACAAAAAATGGTCAAGTTTGAAAACTAGCCAAAGTGGTCAATTGTTGGTCTAAAGTCACATGACAGTGACTCAGACTGGTCTGGGACCCGTGAAGATTCCGGGGTAGAATCGGTCTTCAGCAACCCATGCTTGCTGTAAATGGCGACTATGCTTGTCGTAAGAGGCGACTAACGGGAGCGGGTGGTCAGGCTCGCTGACTTGGTTGATGCATGTCATCGATCCCAATTGCATGGATCGATGCTCATGATATTAATCACTGGATTGTCTGGTCCAGACTCAATTATTTACAGACCGCCGTCATATAGCTGGAATATTGCTTAGTGCGGCGTTAAACAACCAACCAACCAGACTGGTCTGGGACTTCTTTCACAAATTCCTACAAGTATGAATGAGTCTTGACCACAGTTGATGGTGAAACGGTGCTTGAACAACACCGGTCACCAACCAGCAAAATCAGTCAGAGATAGCAAGGTCTGCTGATGGGCTTCTCTCATAAAGGCAACTTTAGCGACCATCGTAAATGTATGTTGAAATATGGGAGTTGAGGTATCTGTGATGCAAAGACTGCTTTGGGAAACATGGCCCTAGTCATAGATCAGCTTCTGATAAAGTTTGACCCGTTAAGATCCGGGGTAGAATAGGTCTCCAGCAACCCATTCTTGCTGTAAAAGGCGACTTTGCTTTTCGTAAGAGGCGACTTACGGGATCGGGTGGTCAGGCTCACTGACTTGATGGATGCATGTCATCAATATTGTTGAGTGCGGCGTTAAACGACAAACAAACAATCTGATAAATTTGATAATATTGGTTGTATTAGACCAATTCTCCTGTTCAGGATATCCCTTATCATGTTTATATAGCACAAATCAAATAACCAGCCAAACTGGTAATAAGTTCATTGAGTTAGAAGTGTACAATTGGTATTTAACATGTTAAGGGGCTCTCACACTTTGTGAGAGCTGCTTTACACAGAAGAGATACCATATAGATCACTTAAGATCTTAGTGGTCACTTGAAAATAGGCAGGCAGCTACAAAGTGTCGTCACTACATTGTAATACAAATGAGCTTAATCTACTTCTGTTGTATTTCTTGGTTGGCTTTAAATAGAAGAATATTCACAGTGCCCTCAACTATGTTTCTGTCCTACAATTCCGTTTCTTGATCCCTTAAAATTGAAAACAAATGATTCAGGGTTGAGATTCATCTGCAAAAAGAAAGAAGACCAATTTATAAAATAAAAGTGCTGTATCGGGATATGAATCGTATTGCACACATTGTATCGGGAAACATATTGTTTCGCGACCCAAACGTATCATTACACCTCTAATCATGTCAGACATTCTTTCCTCATCACTGTGATAGAACTGTGGTATTGTTCAAAGCAGCGTTATGCCAACCCTACTGACTCACAGATTGTTTCCTTGCTTCAGGGTGACGCAGGACTCACCGGCAGGAAGATCATCGTTGACACGTATGGAGGATGGGGAGCTCATGGTGGGGGGTCACTCTCTGGAAAGGATCCAACCAAGATTGACCGTTGTGGTTCGTACGCTGCTCGCTGGGTGGCACTGTCACTCGTCAAGGCCGGACTCTGCAAGCGAGTTCTTGTCCAGGTCAGTCTGGTTACAGCCAGTTGTAGGCTTGTGCCTCTATCTTGTCTATAATTCTCTTTTCGCTGTGCAGAGTTACGTCCCTTGGACAAGCCAGGAACCTATAATCGTGGGTTCAAATCCTGGTTCACCCCAATAATGTTCTAGGTTTGTCAGCACCATACCTGTGCTCTTGGTTTTCACCAAAGTGGTAAACATCTAACATGTCTAAGACTTGCATAACTTCTGGCTTTCCTCAGACATTAATGAGACACGCCATGATACTGGAATACTGTTCATTCAACATGTTTAAGGGGTTAACCCAACTCACTCACTCGCTCACTCTATCACTCACTCACTCACTTTGTTTAGGGTTAGATCTCACCTTGGGGACTTAGGATTAGCATAGGTCCCTAGCAACTTATGCTTGCAGTACAAAGCAACTCATTGGATCCGGTAGTGTGACTCGGTGACATGGTGATTGCATGTTACTGTGTATGTATATCTTTTCATATCAATCATTGGTTTGTCTGCAATTGATTATTTACCAGCTTCCTTCATTCAGCTGAAATATTGCTGATAACAAGACAAGATATCATGTTATAATTCATTATTAAAAATCATATTGGAGTCTCCCTGTTTGCAATTTATGTTATATCCATACATTTATGTTATATCCATATATTTATGTTATATCCATATATTTATGTTATATCCACTGAGTGATACAATAACCTCTTCATACCAGGGCCAAGCTTGACGTAAAAGGCGTGTATGCTTGTTGTAAAAGGCGACTAATGGGATCGGGTGGTCAGACTCGCTGACTTGGTTGATGCATATCATCGATCCCAATCGATCTTCATGATGTCAGTCACTGGATTGTCTGGTCCAGACTCGATTATTTACAGACCGCCCTTAATATAGCTGGAAAATTGCTGAATGCAGCATTAAACAACAAACCAACCAACCAACTTCATACCAGGGTGGAAATTTTTACAGTCAGTTACCTCCCTTACCTCGGGGAGACGCGTCATACCAGCAGCTGTGAGGTTTCCATGTGAGAATAGACCCCCATCATCTCATGCTTGTAAGAGTGGTTACATGTGGTCGTGTACTGTGTATGACCTGGCTCATTGTGTGTCTTTCATGCCTGACCATTGTCATGGTGCTGGAGAAGTGCTGACTGTGGCATTATGAAACATTCCATCATGTATCCTCGATGCTTTGCTATATGTGTAGATGTAGAATATGTGTGTTTCAGGTGTCCTACGCCATTGGTGTGGCGGAACCAGTATCGGTGACTGTGTTTGACTACGGCACATCTTCCAAAAATATGAATGAGTTGTGTGACATTGTCAAGAAAAACTTTGACCTGCGACCTGGAAATATTATTAAGTAAGTGACATGATTTCACAGGGGCGTTGCTCACACTCTTGACCACTTGTTTATCTCGTCCTTTCTGATATAGCTACCATATTACGTAATGGAGACATCATTACAATCTTTTGGTTCTGGTAGTAGAATCAATGAACTCCAACATCCATCAACAGATTCAGGATTTCGTCCACTCCTTGTTATGATGGATATATACTTTTTCTGTAATTTTAATTATAATAATAGTATATTTGAACTATATTTGAACTATTTTTTAACTATATTTGCATTAGTTTCACTTGTCCACATTCAGTATGGCCAGTGAATTTCTGGCTCAGAATTATTTGCAGCAACAATAGCATGAGGTCATCATAATGATTTAATTACTGGAGCACAGAGGCTGCAACTGTAGCAGGTAGCTGCAACAAGGAGTTAAGGACTGGAATTTACAAGTTGTCAACATGGGTTCAAAGACATTAAGGACTATCTTTTCCAAGTGGAGTACACATGTACTCTATAGCCTTAGCCAGGGACATTCAAGAGTAATTCTTTTTGGAATAGGTTGTCTGTTATCCTTCGTTGATTATAAGTTCTTCTTTTTTCCCCTAATTCTTATTAGTAAGAGAAGGTTGAAAAAGTGTAAGGTTATGCAAAAGGGAGAATAGGTCAGTCACTTGTGTGAACAAAGTCTGTTTAACATTTGGTGGTGTCATCTCCAGCTAGTCGATCAGTGTGATCTATTTAAAGAAAAATTCTCTTCACTTCTTTCCTCTACACCACCCCCACCTGCACTAATCCTACTCGACTGCATCTACAGGCTACAGAACACACTGTGTACATCTCTTGTGTTACCTTTTCAGTGAACTGAATCTCCGTCGACCTATCTACCAGAAGACTGCCAGCTATGGCCACTTCGGACGTTCCGAGTTTCCCTGGGAGGATCCGAAGCCTATCCAGTCTTAATGTCGTGTGCTGCAGGCTGGCTGACAATATATATTGATTGCTGTATTCATATCATATCACAGACATATCTTGGAACAGTTTAGTTTCCTTAATGATTTTACAATTCAGAAAAAGATAATTTTGATGGTGTTTATTTCTGTTTGAGGGTAGTTTTTTTTATATTATGCGTTCAGTCCTGTTTATTTTCTTATTGACTTTACAATTGAGGTAAAGAGAATCTCTGATTTTGATAGAATATTATCTCTTTTTCTTCTTCTATTACTTATTATTATTATGTGTACGGGACTGTATATATCCCGGAACATAATCATATCATGCCAATATAATGGTTGATGTCACAAGATATTTCCCTTCAAGGCCAGGCCAAATGTTTTTCTGTGTCTCACCGATTATCCTGGTTAGGATGGCAAGAGACAGAAGGCATGTTTAAGATAATAAAAAAAACTTTGCTTGGGTGAGATCTGAGGTGAATTTTCTGAAAATAGATCTTTATTAGATTTTTTTTATTTTTGTGTATGAAATTTGAAATGTTCAACTAGGATTGGCTGTATTTTCAGATGAGTTTTGAACAGTCAATAATACATGAAGAGTCTGTTTTGTTTCTGTTTCAGTCGTACACAATGTGTAGGTTGACAGTCCTTTTATTTTCTGACCATTATGTCGATATTTGACATGGCAGTCTTGGTCAATTATATGAGTCCCACATATGTATCCCATATCTGAATCCCATATGTGAATTCCACTTCTGAATCCCATATCTGAATCCCATAGTGCTTTTGGAGATATGGTTACAATATACAGGTGATTTGAGAGCAATTTCAAATTCCCCTATTTGTATGTTGAGACGAAGTTATACCCAGGTTATCCCCACTCTGAGCAGTGTTGTTCTGTCTGTATGTTTGTGTAACTCATCGTGTACCGATCTCAGTACAGGACCGAAGCATCACCAGGCTAGGGTCCTAGGTTGTATTAAAACCTTGTCATCACTTTTCTGTCTCCTTTTTGCATTGCCGTAGAAAATGTGAGGATTAAATGCAGATCCAAATCAAATGAGTCTCTAGGTCAGATCAATCTTATACCGAAAAATACATGTAGTCTTGATTCTGTGAATCAGCACATACCATCATTGTTTATCAACACCATCATATCCTACTGGTTAATTTGCTCTTTACAGAATGATGTCCAAATATACTACATATGCTGGAATTGATCAAACTGTCTTTGATAAGCAAGACAGTCATCTATCGTAAGTCTAAAGAAATTGTCATTACACTAGTTATCTGCCGTGTGTCTAATGGACTATCAGTACTCTCGTTGTCTATCGTACAAGTCATCTATCGTAAGTCTAAAGAAATTGTCATTACACTAGTTATCTGCCGTGTGTCTAATGGACTATCAGTACTCTCGTTGTCTATCGTACAAGTCATCTATCGTAAGTCTAAAGAACTTGTCATTACACTAGTTATCTGCCGTGTGTCTAATGGACTATCAGTAATCTAGTTGTCTATCGTACAAGTCATCTATCGTAAGTCTAAAGAACTTGTCATTACACTAGTTATCTGCCGTGTGTCTAATGGACTATCAGTAATCTAGTTGTCTATCGTACAAGTCATCTATCGTAAGTCTAAAGAACTTGTCATTACACTAGTTATCTGCCGTGTGTCTAATGGACTATCAGTACTCTCGTTGTCTATCGTACAAGTCATCTATCGTAAGTCTAAAGAACTTGTCATTACACTAGTTATCTGCCGTGTGTCTAATGGACTATCAGTACTCTAGTTGTCTATCGTACAAGTCATCTATCGTAAGTCTAAAGAACTTGTCATTACACTAGTTATCTGCCGTGTGTCTAATGGACTATCAGTACTCTAGTTGTCTATCGTACAAGTCATCTATCGTAAGTCTAAAGAACTTGTCATTACACTAGTTATCTGCCGTGTGTCTAATGGACTATCATTACTCTCGTTGTCTATCGTACAAGTCATCTATCGTAAGTCTAAAGAACTTGTCATTACACTAGTTATCTGCCGTGTGTCTAATGGACTATCAGTAATCTAGTTGTCTATCGTACAAGTCATCTATCGTAAGTCTACAGAACTTGTCATTACACTAGTTATCTGCCGTGTGTCTAATGGACTATCATTACTCTCGTTGTCTATCGTACAAGTCATCTATCGTAAGTCTAAAGAACTTGTCATTACACTAGTTATCTGCCGTGTGTCTAATGGACTATCAGTACTCTCGTTGTCTATCGTACAAGTCATCTATCGTAAGTCTAAAGAACTTGTCATTACACTAGTTATCTGCCGTGTGTCTAATGGACTATCAGTAATCTAGTTGTCTATCGTACAAGTCATCTATCGTAAGTCTAAAGAACTTGTCATTACACTAGTTATCTGCCGTGTGTCTAATGGACTATCAGTACTCTCGTTGTCTATCGTACAAGTCATCTATCGTAAGTCTACAGAACTTGTCATTACACTAGTTATCTGCAGTGTGTCTAATAGACTATCAGTACTCAAGTTGTCTATCGTAGATCTCATGAACTACGGAATCATTACACTACTTATCTATCGTAAGTCTTAAGAACTATCGTTACATAAGTTATGAGGCTGAGTTATCTATCAGAGTGTTAAGGTATTAGCGTGAGCATGGTTGTCACTCCACTGGACATTCGTGACCAACTCGTGTTATTCTGGGACAAGCCGAATAGCGACTCATGCCCCTCTCCTGGCCATTTTTTGCAACTGGGCTCCATCTAGCGCAAACAAGCATAGCTAAAAGAATTGTCAACTCACTGCGTAATGACTCGGGTATATTTTCCCCATATATATTTTGTCCAGATTCTTTTTAAAACACATCAGGACTTGTGGTATTATACAGCATGTTTGAACACATTTAGCTGTATGTTGGGTACATTTTTTTTATGCAAGACATATGAAAATTAAAAAATGATTCCAGAGGGATTCTTGGCCTGAAGTACTTGAAGTCATATGCGCTTTCTGAATGGTTTGTTGTATTTTAGCACATAACATTCATTGATAGGGGAACAAGTCTTCTTGCAGGTCACGGAAAGGGGCGAGTGGTGATGAATGTCCAAAGGAATTAAGTCTTGTTCAAGCCTTGACGGCTGGGTGCAGAAACTATTCACTCACAATACATCACATCATCTTTACAGTTTTTTTCATGACTATTGACTGAAATTTCATTTGCATTCATAAAAGATATTTACTTATTTATTTGATACTAATCATTTTTTGATGTTGAGATTATGAGAAGAGGAATATTGATGGATAAAAAAAGAGAGCAGGCTACTGGTTAGTCTTTACCTAGCAAAGTATGTACTTTGTTTGTTATTGTCTCTTAAAGGGAGAAAAGGTTTTGTCAGTTGAGGATGTGAATCTTGAGCCCCAGAACAATACTTTTTGAGCTTCGAAAGATATACACTATTTTTGTTTTGTGAATATGATATTGTTTAGTTTATAAAGCATTATTTCCTGGAGATATCACTGACTTTTTATTTTTGTGAATGGATTCAGTTTCCTTTTTGCCATTCTATGTAGGATGTTTGTTGAACTTTAACAACATACTGTCCAAGTGGGCTTAAATGTGTGCTTATATTAGAATCATGAGGTCATCATGACTGTTTATACCATCACCCAACTTGACAATGGTGGGCAGACCAACCATGGTCACCATTTCTATACTGTGTTCACAATTAACATATTCTCTCCATTTTAAATATTTTTGGTAAAGACAGTGTTTAAAATAACTGCCTGTCCGACAGTCGTCCATGAGTCTTTTTCACTGACAGACGTTCAGTTTTGAAAGGTTGATAGTCAGGGGTTAAAGTTACTAAGTTGACAATCCACCAGTTTATTGTTATTTTCTAAGAACTTACACTTAACAGTACAATTTTTATGTTTACCCTTTTCTTGCTTTTGTTCATTAGAAAATTCTGGACTGGGAACATTTTATGTGGTCTGGTAACTTTGCAGAGAGTGAGTTGCTACTTTCAGAGATGAATGCACAACAAGAATGTGTACATTGATTTGAAATACCTTTTCTTTCAACATTTTTTGTAGTCATACCTTCCTGATTTCTTGTCTACTTTTGCTTGATCATCATTTACAGTTTGGCAGAGGCATCATGATGACCTATATGTACTGAAACACAGAAAAACACATAATCAACTTTAACTCGACATCAGAAAAGATGTGTTTTTGTGCTAATGTCCATCTCCAAACACATCAAATAATATCAAACCCATACGAGGACATCGTTGTATTTGATTAACTCTTGCCTAAATACCCAGAACAACTTAATTTGATTTTTGTGGCCATTTTGTACATATTATAAAAAATCGAATATGTTTTCAAAATGTCTCAGTATATATTATATGGATCAATGTTTTCCTGGTCAATGTTTATTTATTAAAACCTTTAGGATGCTGGCGCTTCTGAAGTATTTGGACAGATGTCTGTGACTGATGGTACAGAAACACAACATGCATGGGAATGTCAGTAGAATGAAGCACCCCACCCAGTAGGATGTCATGCAGTCCTAAGTCCCATAGTTATTAGTCCTTCTTTGATGTTGTGCATTTATTTTTTAGTTGTTTATGTTTACTTTTGTTTTCTGTTTATTTTTGTTTTCATTGCAATGGTTCAATGTCATATTCTTGCTACTTGCGAGCAATCTTTAAATTATGTTCAGCTCCCAATATAAGAAACACAGTACTAATTACCCTCAGACTCAAATAGATTGTTATTTATGTGAACAATAACAATAATCACCTCTCCTAGAGATGAGAAATGGTTTGGTTGTAGCCGACTGTTCCTGTGTCTGTATTGAGTAGTTCCTGGTCTGGGTAACAACAATGTCTTGGTGAACATGGAGCGTTTCAATTGAAAACAAAATACTCATTTACATCAGTACATTGTATTTATTTTATAGTGCAGATATCTGTCAGATAGTACTGATCCAGATTCATTCATTAGCTTATTTATGAGAATTCTGAACATTAAGATGAATTGGTATCCAATAAATTAATCTGTTTCCATTTTCAAAGATGCTGAAATAAAATGCAGAATGTCCTAAATATTCAACTAATATGTTATGTAATACTTTAGTAAGTTGTGTAAATTTGTTCTTTAAATAACAATATGCAAATAGCAGATATATGCTTGAACACATGCCTTGTGTAGAGACCAGTGCTTTCCATTTGGTAGTGATCGTTTCCTGGAGGATATATCTATTTTATGAATAAAATGTTATTAAAAAATGAATGTCTAATTATTATTTTTTTAGAGGAATAGATTGTTAGAATTATACGGTTTGCTGGTGGAAGTGGAATCTCCAGAATGTCCGTTCATGCTGTCAGATTGTAGTACTTGTCTGATTGGGATCTTTATTCAAGCAATATCTTGAGATATAATCGCGTTCAGTACTCCCTAAAATAATGAATTACAATTTTAGATATTTTACGGATGTTTCAGAAGATATCGTTCAACGGGCAATAACTCTTGTATCCTTAGGACTCTTATGGCCGTCCTTTCAGAGCTTTCAATATTCGCATTTTCTGTACACAAAACATACATATGCATGAATAAGTAATTCATTTTTGACAGGATAGGTCCCCAGCACCCCGTACCTCATGGGGAGGAGTGCGTGGCAGGATAGGTCCCCAGTACACCACTGGGAAGAGTGCGGGACAGGATAGGTCCCCAGTACACCACGGGGAGGAGTGCGGGACAGGATAGGTCCCCAGTACACCACTGGGAGGAGTGCGGGACAGGATAGGTCCCCAGTACACCACGGGGAGGAGTGCGGGACAGGATAGGTCCCCAGTACACCACGGGGAGGAGTGCGTGGCAGGATAGGTCCCCAGTACACCACTGGGAGGAGTGCGGGACAGGATAGGTCCCCAGCACCCCGTACCCCATGGGGAGGAGTACGGGGCAGGATAGGTCCCCAGTACACCACTGGGAGGAGTGCGGGACAGGATAGGTCCGAAGTACACCACTGGGAGGAGTGCGGGACAGGATAGGTCCCCAGTACACCACGGGGAGGAGTGCGGGACAGGATAGGTCCCCAGTACACCACGGGGAGGAGTGCGGGACAGGATAGGTCCCCAGCACCCCGTACCTCATGGGGAGGAGTGCGTGGCAGGATAGGTCCCCAGTACACCACTGGGAGGAGTGCGGGACAGGATAGGTCCCCAGCACCCCGTACCCCATGGGGAGGAGTACGGGGCAGGATAGGTCCCCAGTACACCACGGGGAGGAGTGCGGGACAGGATAGGTCCCCAGTACACCACTGGGAGGAGTGCGGGACAGGATAGGTCCCCAGCACCCCGTACCTCATGGGGAGGAGTGCGTGGCAGGATAGGTCCCCAGTACACCACGGGGAGGAGTGCGGGACAGGATAGGTCCCCAGCACCCCGTACCCCATGGGGAGGAGTGCGTGGCAGGATAGGTCCCCAGTACACCACGGGGAGGAGTGCGGGGCAGGATAGGTCCCCAGCACCCCGTACCCCATGGAGAGGAGTACGGGGCAGGATAGGTCCCCAGTACACCATGGGAAGGATTGCGGGGGCATTTAGGCCACCAGTACCCCATGGGGAGGAGTGCAGTTCAGAATAGGTCGCCAGTACCCCATTGGGAGAACTGCGGCGCAGAATAGGTCCAAAGTACCCCATGGGGAGATACCCAGGGCAGAATAAGTCCCCAGTACGCCATGAAGAGGAAAAAGGGACAGAATATGAAGTGACTAACACCGTATCGAATTGTTATGTGTGACACGGTGAATTGTGTGCCACAGTAATTTTGTTTACGTTGGTCGTTACTCATGCTATCAACTCTATCATTTACATGACACCGTTATTCTAAAATAATGCATGCTGGGGCTAAAACATCATTCACTCAAGAAACAATTTCAGTTTGAGCAAGAGCATATCGTCGTATCCCAATTACGTGGTCGATGCTCATTATGTCAATGACTAGATTGGTCCAGACTCGATTATTTTCAAACCGTCGTCATACAGCTGGAATATTGCTGAGCGCGGCGTTAAACACCAAACAAACAAACATACAAAAAAGCATGTTCTGCTTGATTTTACAGTTAAGTATTTAAATTAAGTGGACATTGTTTGACATTGGGCATGCGCATTTGTTTGGGAACCCCTTCTACATAGTTCCCGTTGTTTTAGTCATGTTATCACAATCAATAATTAAGTCACTTATTTCTCGATCACCTTTCACCTTAAATGGACGACTGGTTCATTTATTGCGGACTTGTACCTGCTCACCTACCGGTGTACCTAGCCCAAGAAGCCACCTTAACCACGGACAACTGCCTCTTGGCCAGTGAGTTGATGTGGTGTCATGCGTGAGCGTGAGGTGGCCTCGTTCTGGAGATTACATGCTTGTAGTGCTCCCAGGGTTCATGCACTTCTCATCAGCCACTGTCTGCACGGCCCATCCTGATATCACGAATACTATTAGCTCGACATATCAGAGTCGACCCGTCTTTGTCATCTCCGTATCACATCCGCTATGTCGAAATATCCTACAGTTCACGTCGATATTCACATTAGTCTTGTGAAGGTTCAACATCTTTAATTCCATATTCTTGCAAAGGTTCAACACGATTTGTTCCATATTCTTGCAAAGGTTCAGCACAATTTGTTCCATATTCTTGCAAAGGTTCAGCACAATTTGTTCCATATTCCTGCTAACGTTCAACATCTTAAAAGTCCATATTCCTGATAACGTTCAACATCTTTAAGTCCATATTCCTGATAACGTTCAACATCTTTAAGTCCATATTCTTGCAAAGGTTCAACACGATTTGTTCCATATTCTTGCAAAGGTTCAGCACAATTTGTTCCATATTCTTGCAAAGGTTCAGCACAATTTGTTCCATATTCCTGCTAACGTTCAACATCTTAAAAGTCCATATTCCTGATAACGTTCAACATCTTTAAGTCCATATTCCTGATAACGTTCAACATCTTAAAGTCCATATTCCTGATAACGTTCAACATCTTTAAGTCCATATTCCCGATAACGTTCAACATCTTTAAGTCAATATTCCTGATAACGTTCAACATCTTTAAGTCCATCTTCCTGATAACGTTCAACATCTTTAAGTCCATATTCCTGATAACGTTCAACATCTTTAAGTCCATATTTTTGCTAAGGTTCAACATATCAAGTCTATTTTCTTGCTAAAGTTTAACACATTGTATTCGATAGTATTTGACGTGTGCAAATTAAAAGGGTGGCTACCAGCGTCTTGCCCAGATTCTAAGTCTTTTAACTCCATATTCAAGAGAAGATTAATGTTCCAGAGAGTTTATTCTACTTGGGCGTCCATTGTTCGTATCATCTGCGTGATAAATAGGGATTTGAGATTTACCCGAGGTATATATCATCTCACTCACTCACTCACTCACTCACTCACTCACTCATTCACTCATCTGAAGACACCGAAGCGCTGTTCAAGTGATGGTCCAGTTGTTATTGGTAACAACGTGGTGCGTCTACTTCTACCATATTCGTGTATGCAATAGGTGACTGTACACGTCATGCCCGAAAACGACGACTTTCGATAAATACTAATTCACTTTATACAGTAGTTATGTTGGTTGGTTGGTTTGTTGTTTAACGCCGCACTCAGCAATATTCCAGCTATATGACGGCGGTCTAAAAAATCGAGTCTGGCCCAGACAATCCAGTGATTGATATCATGAGCATCGATCCAGGACAATTGGGATCGATGACATGCATCAACCAAGTCAGCGAACCTGACCACCCTATCCCGTTAGACAAGCATAGTCGTCTTTACGGCAAGCATGGGTTGCTGAAGACTTATTCTCATTTCAGAAGTCAGAATATGTGTGAAGGTGAATTGATGGTGTTGAGACATGGCAGCATAAGAACTGATCAGAGGTATGCTTGCAATATGCCAAACATATACTAGTATACGAATCTTCAACATGTTGTGTGAGTCCCCTGTAAAATGAAACTTAGGAGGAGGGATATGCTGTATGAACGTCGTATCTTTCCAGTACGACGTCAAAATGGCCGAGATGATAAATCGTCAGATGATGTTTTCAAAGTGTTATCCCTTATCTCTGGTGAACGTGTGGCCATCAGGCAAGCCTGACCACCCGATCCCGTTAGTCGCCTTTTACGACAAGCAGTCACCTTTTACTACAAGCATAGTCACCTTTTACGACAAGCATAGTCACCTTTTACGACAAGCATGGGTTGCTGAAGACCTATTCCTCCCCGCAGTAGTTATGTACAAGAAACAAGATTATAGAATAGAGGACACTTTTGTGGTTTTGCCAGAAGTTAGGTTGGTCCAAAAGGCGTGGGAAAACGATTTACAACAAAGACGCGGTCAGAAATTGAGTCTTTTCGACACAAACTACCACAACATCCTAAGTGTACTGACTGTCCTAGGCAGTGTATGTTTACACTGGTGTGTGTGTAATGTGTTTACTCTGGTGTGTGTGTGTGTGTCATGTGTTTACTCTGGTGTGTGTGTATGTGTGTCATGTGTTACAGTGTGTGTGGTACAGTGACGATACGTCCTAGTTACTGTGTTGTCAAGGGACTGATGTGATCGTCACGTGACACCTGCCCTCCCTCCCCCGGGCCAGTGTGATTGATGGGGCCTGCTTTGCAACATGACACTCCAAACTAGACCCAGATTGTTGGTCAAAACTACCCCAAGGCAACGGAAAGTCATGTAAATAGCATTTCTAAAGACTGAGTAAAGGACCTTATGGACAGAAGCCACCCCGACCTCTGCAAGCAGTGGAGTGAATGCAGTTTTAAGCCGAGGCCAGCAGTATTATTTTATGTCACAGCCGCATGTAAAACATCTAGTTTTGACCAAGC